ACAGAAACAGGCAAGCAGAGACAGCTCGGAGGACCGCATGCTGAGGCAGCTAGCGGTCTTCTGAGAGGCTGGCTTCCTGGCCGCTAGGGTGTCGAGTTTACACCGCGTGTACACCGCGCGTTCTCTGGCGGCCGTGTGCGGAGTGACCAGTGTATGTACACCTGAGACTGCGCACGTAGTCTGCAGCCGTTCGATCCCAAAGTTTTTGTTCAGAGAAAACAGGGGCCAAAGGGGAAAGAAGGGAACCCCTTAACTCAACATGACTCAAAAGCTTCTACAGGAGACGGACCGGGCCGATGCGTAGCAGCGTTTGGTGTTCGCTGCGCGCCACGTGGCCAGAGTAGCAACGGAAACACCAAACTTTACTTTAGCGGTCACAAATAAAAGGGAGAAAATGCCTTAAGAGTTTGTAGCCTGCTGCTGCTGCTGCAGCACAAGCTTCAACAGGACAAGTTCTTTCCTGCACGGGTGCCTGCTGGGGCAACGGATTCTACACACTCAGCTCCAATTAGGACTGAGGGCACCAAAGAGCATCAGGCGGTGTAAACCCCCTACAGGTTGGCTGATGGGGATCTACGGTCCATGGGCACGAAGGGTCGAGGCTTGGGGCCCTTGTAGATAGACGTGGGCCGAATGAGTTTGTTGACAGCGCGCTGCTCCAGCACGTGTGCCGCCCAGCCAGCGGTCCTCGCAATGGCAAATAGAGGTGTGAAGAACCGAATGGGCACCCCGCACCTACAGCAACAGCAGCAGAAGCAGAAGCAGCAAAGGATCAGCTGCCAGAAGAAGGGCTGTCTGGGCCTGCTGTAGACGCTGCGGAGCAACGGGAGCTGCAGCTGAAGCAGCAGCACGAACAGCAGCAGCAACAGCAACAGCAGCATTCGTTCGCCTGACTGCTTGTATGCAATAGCTGCTGAAAAGTCGACGTTTGGATGCATGTTTTTCCTCTTGAGCATGTGCTCCTCGATGAAAGCCCCAATCCGCACCAACTCCGGGTCGGAGTGGGGCAGGCGGGCGCCTGCCAGGGCCTCAGCCAGCTGGCGCATCAAGGGGGCCCTAGGGTCTCCGTCTTTGTACATTCGGTGTCCAAAGCCCATAACCAACTCCCGACGAGCAAAGGCTTCCTCCAGCTGCAGAAAAACACTGTTAAAACGCAGAGAGCTGTGACCAGCCACAGCGCATATCGCCTACAGGGGCGCAGCAGCAACAGCAGCAGCAGCAGCAGTAACAGCAACAAAGGGCAAACGGGAGCTCATAAGCTGCAGCAGTGCTCTTTGTACCCGTTGCTTCGCCTTGTCAATGGAGGTCAAGGGGAGCAGCATCTCCAGAGCTGCTTGGTTGGCGCCCCCGTGCAGAGGTCCCTTCAGTGTCCCTATTCCCGAGCAAATGCAGCTGTACATGTCGCTGCGAGTCCCAGCAGTCACGCGGCACGCGAAGGTCGACGCTGCAGCAGCAGCAGCAGCAAAGGCAACAAGAAACAATAGATGTCAGAGGCACCAAAACAGGCAGTAGAAGGAGCCTCGCCTAAAAACCACTGCTCTACGCACAATAACGCCAATCCTTCGCGCTTGCACAGCCGGCAGGTTTGGGTGCTTTTGCTCTACAGCAGTGACTCAGAGGCCCTGCTGAGGGATAGGAAGCTGTTTGACGGCCTCACCATTGAAGTCGTGCTCTGCGTAGAGGATAAGCGATGTGTCCAGCGTCTTCGCCACTATGGGGTGCGGCTGGAAATACACCTCAAACCACATCCACGCTGAAGCTGGAAAGCCAGAGAAACCCTAGCAGTGGCACCTGATCAGCGCTAAGTTTTCCTGCACATTTCCCTTTCGCTCGCTCACCTTGAAGTCCGGATTCCCGTTCATTAATTTCAGAAAGTTCGTGGCCAGAGAGTCCGCAGGGTCAGACGCAAGTGATATTTCTTTGCCTGAGTCGGCGAAGTGGTACCAGTAGTTCAAGGCGACTGGGAAGCCACCAATGAGACGAATAGCAATCTGCAGAAAAACAAGACACGAACCGACCACCTTTGTTGGTGCTGCTGCTGATGCCG